CACAACTCACACACACACACACACACACACCCACACCCACACACACCCACCCACACCCACCCACACCCACACACCCATACCCACACACCCACCCACACCCACACCCACACCCACACACACACACTCCAGGCCACACAGCCCAGGGCGATCATGGAGTGCACGAGTGACAGGTCCTTAGAACTAGAGCATGTGAGGCACTGCAGCCTGTTGACCCAAGTCAACTCAACTCAACCACAAAAGCCTTCTAGTTTTGAGGCGCCTCAAACCAGAGCCCATGGGGCACTGCAGCCTGTTGATTCCTTGACCAAGTCGACTCAGGGCAACCAAGTCAGCCATAAGATATCATTGTGACACTCACGCGTTGAAGATGGGGTGGGTGAGGAAGGCGCTGTCCCTCTCCAGCGCCTTGGGCAGAGACGCGTCCACCTGGGGTGCAATGGACTCCGCTGTGAAGTCAGGCTGTGCGGAGGGGTCAAGGGATCAAGGGAATGAGACGGGAGCACCGAAGGAGAAGCACACGAAGTGGACAATGGGGTAAGTGGGGGAGGAATTGTTGGCACTTTTGGCAGAGATGCGTCCGCCCACCTGCGGTGCGATGGACAGGGGGTGCAGGCAGGCAGGCTGTGCAGTGGGGTCATGGGGTCAAGGGCAATAGAGTCCGAGCGTATTTTACATTGGCTAAGACAGCAATAAGAGAGGCAGTTGATCCTAAATTCCACTGGGAATGCAGGCTGAGTGGTGGGTTCAAACAAGAGTGAGAAACGGATTGCAGAAGCAAGAGTGAACGGAGTGACTTTGCATAGAATGAACCTTGACGGCTTCAGACGCGTTATCAAAACAATGAGTCCACCAGTGGCCGTTCTTCCGCCCCCCTCCCATCCCTCGCCCCCCATCCCGTCCCCCATACGGACAGCACATTTCTCATCTATACCCATCAAGCTTATCCCGCGTCCTGCCTCAGCCCCAAGGCTCAACCCCCCGACCCCCTTCTCCCCTGGTCCCACCTCGCGCTCAACCTCAGCCCCATGCCTGAAGCCCTTGCCCGCCGTGCCTCATCGCCCCTCACCTGCTTCCCAGCCACGACTTTCAGGAGCGCGTCCACGTCAGCAATGGAGCTGGTCTCGTCGAACGCAACAGTGATCTGTTGACGGTAAGAAGAAGGAAAGTGGGGAGAAAAACGGGAAGATGGAGGGGGAGAGGAGGAGAGGGAGAGAGAGAGGAGGGGAGGGGGTTGGTGGCGGTAGAGGGGCAATTAGCAGGAGAGGGGACGACGATCAAGAAAGAGTTTCACACGCGTCCAAGCTCAGTCGTAGAGGCTCCAAAAACAGACAAGCGCAAAAATAGCATGCTTATGGTCCTGCAAACTACTCATCCTTCCATCACGCCCAATCCCTTCCACATTGAATCTCTTTCTGTCATCCCTGTCTCTCATTCTAACGACTTCGCTCAACTCTCCTTTTCTTTCCAAACCAGCCCTGGCTGTCCCGGGCGAGAAGTGGGCGAGGTGCGCCTTGACGCCATCTCTATCCTGTGCTAACCAATCTCACATCACGCTACCACCACCCAGCACCTTTCACGAATTCTCGACCTTCACGGCATTCCTTACATCCATTCTGCTCCGTGAAGAACGTCTTCCCAACTCCACTTACCTTTCCAAACCACGCATCGTCCCCTTACAGTCGCCATGTAATCACCCCCTCACCGTGTCAGCGTCCAGCACGCGAAGGTTGATTTTCTCCTTCACAGCTGCAGGTGCCACGGCAGCGGCCTTCCCACCGCCGACCACCACCTTGACGGTGTCGAAGAACTGCTCCTTGGCCACTGCGCCCGCCCCGTTCCCATCCCCACCTCCCCCCCCTATCCCCATTCCCCGTCCCCCCACCTCCGCCACCCCCCCACCCGACAGGATTTTTTTCTCACCGTATCAGCGTCGAGCGCGCGAAGGTTGATACCCTCCTTCACAGCAGCAGCCGCCACGGCAGCGGCCTTCCCGCCGCCGACCACCACCTTGACGGTGTCGAAGAAGGGCTCCTTAGCCACGGCGCCCGCGCCCGCCATCTCGACGCCCTTGGCGAAGACCGCCGCGAGCCCGTGCACGCGGTTCGCGATGTCCTTGAGGCCCTCGGGGCCGTGATACACGGCGTACATGGCGGCCATGTTGGCGAGGAGCGCCTGAGAGAGAGGGAAATGGAGGAAGGAGAGGGGGAGGGAAGGAGGGAAAGGGGCCGGAGATAAGTATTGAGTCGATTCGAAAGTCACATTGACGCCCTCGAGTCGACTCAGAAGGCCCCTCGAGGCCGTGATGCACGGTGTACATCGAGGCCATATTGGCGGAGCGCCTGAGAGAGGATTAAGTGACGACATATGCAAAGAGGAGAGCGTGAGAAAAAAACGAGGATTAGAGGAAGAAGGCTGGAAAGGGAAGACAGGAGTGCAATAACCGGCATGAGGAGAAGGGGCGAACTAGCAGAAGCTTATCGAAACATTGTGAGTCCTGGCGTCCGACTGAGCTGCGACATTGTCGCGGACTCGTACGGCTGCTTAAAAGCTTGCGTCCAACTGCGGAATGCGACTTCGCTAGGCAACGGAGCGCCACGCAAGGCCCTGTTTAAATGCCTCGTTCCCTGTCACCTGATTCTGTGGCATTTTGTATCAACCTATGTACGAATCGCTGGTTCTAACACCTGAGCGTGCAGACACCGACGGATTTGCACACCTGCGCCGTGCAGATGTTTCTGGTGGCCTTGTCTCGCCTGATATGCTGCTCCCTCTTTCCAATCGTCATACGCAGCACAAATTCTCCGTAGTGTAACCTGTGCACATACAAAGAACCAGTGGCTCTCTTACCTGCGCCGTGCAGATGTTGCTGGTGGCCTTGTCTCGCCTGATATGCTGCTCTCTCTTTTCAATCGTCATACGCAGCACAAATTCTCCGTAGAGTAACCTGTGCACATACAAAGAACCAGTGGATCTCTTACCTGCGCCGTGCAGATGTTGCTGGTGGCCTTGTCTCGCCGGATGTGCTGCTCCCTCGTCTGCATCGCCATACGGAGCGCCGGATTCCCCTGCGCGTCAATGCTCACGCCGATAATCCGCCCAGCCATCAGGCGCTTGTACTCCGCTGACGTGGCAAGGAACGCCGCGTGGGGACCACCGTACCCCATCGGCACGCCGAACCGCTGCGCGGATCCCACCACCATATCCGCGCCGAGCTCGCCAGGCGGCCGGACGACGGTCAGCGCGAGCAGATCCGTCGCCATGACCACCTTCGCACCGTTTTCGTGCGCCTTGGCGACGAAATCGGAGTAGTCGATCAAGGTGCCGTCCGTCGCGGGATACTGGACCAGCACGCCGCAGACGTCCTTTTTGGAGTAATCGAACTTCGTGTGGTCGCCGACAATGGCGTCGATCCCCAGCCCGTCTGCGCGTGTCAGGCACACGTCGATGGTCTGCGGGTGGCACAGGTTGGAGATGTAGAATTTGGTCTTCTTGCCTCGGCTGATGTTGAGGCACATGGCCATGGCTTCCGCCGCCGCCGTCCCTTCGTCCAGCAGCGACGCGTTGGACATCGGCATTGCCGTGAGGTCAGCGATCATGGTCTGGAAATTGAGGAGAGATTCCAAACGTCCCTGAGCGATTTCCGCCTGGTAAGGAGTGTACTGGGTGTACCAGCCAGGGTTCTCGAGCAGGTTACGGAGAATGACCGGGGGGACGATAGTTCCGTGGTAACCCATGCCGATGAACGACTTGAGAACCTTGTTCTTAGAAGCCATGTCTTTAAAGCGCTCGAGCATCTCGTTCTCCGGGAATCCCTCCGTGTACTTTCCCAGCTGCATCGGCTGGCGTGTGATGTCCTTGGGAACGGTCGCAGCGACAAGAGCATCGACGGATTCGAAGCCGCAGAATTCAGCCATGCCCTGGGCCTCTGGGGGAGTGATGCTGTTGTGACGGCGGGGGAATGTGTCGCTAGGCTTCAATGCGTCCACGGAGATGGAACGGAACCCTTGAGCGGCGTTTCTGGCGCGGATTTCTGCGGAAATGCCGGTGGAACGAGCGGAGAAAGCTCCGAGCATGCTGGAGTGGCCATGGCGAGCAGGAGCGTCGGCGAGGGAGGTGAGAGGCCGGGAGTGGTTCACGACTGGCCGTGAGCCGGAGTTATTAATGACGACTCCCAGACTCCGCACGCAGCGCATCCATTGCTGTCTGCTGGATGCAGCCATTTCGGCAGTAGGAAACTACTAGCCTGCACAAATGTACAACGCTAGGCCTGTCTGACCAGCTCGTTCCCTGCGAGACGAAGGGACACAACACAGTAGAGCTCACTCCTGATGAATTCCTCCGGCTATTGCTGAATCCAGGTCAGTAATGAGGCTAGTTATGTGCAGCCCAAATCTTTCAGAACAGTAATAGGACACCAGCAGCACCCCAGACCAGGACGCCCTTGGGAATTGTGCGAATCAAATGTGCAGCTGGTCATTTTTCGCCACCTTGGGATGAAAATTGTGGTGACCTTGGGATCAGGTTTGGGCCTGGCTTGCTTGTGACCCACCACCAGGCCTGGTTCGTTTCTCGGGCCAGAATTGTTCGGCCGAGCCAGTTTTGTGGCATCTTACCTCCGCGAGGCTCGGTTTCGCGCCAACAATTTGCGAAGAACCTGGCCAAGCACAAAACGAAGGCTCGGTTCGCAAAACGTCACTTCTGCTCAATGGAATGGGTCAAGGAATGGGATGGCGTCCACAAAACATGCCACGTCAGGTGAGATGAAGAATGAATGTTGCACATGATTGGCTGAGTGTCCATATGGGTCACGCAGTCTGACGTGGAGTTACTCAAATGCACGCACCAGCTTTTCCACTGGCTTGTTGGCAAGATGCAGCTGTGTACCGCATGTAAGGAGTCGCTACGCTGCACACACTAGAGCACGCAGTGGACAAAAACGCATCACATCAAACCTCTGTTTCATCTCACTTCATTTTGTTTCACATTGAATTAGACATTTCTTTATTATGTTCCACCTGATCCTTCATACTACCGCCAATGTCAACACTGATTGAATTGCATAAACATGGTACATAGTAGACAATGCAGGGTACGTAGCATCATTGTATAAGTCACGCTTGTTGTGTAGTGTCTTGCGGATCTGCACTGAAGGTAGTATGTGTTGGCCGAGAGTACGTTCTCGTGAACTTCTCCTTCATCCCGTAGTACACAACAGCAGCAGCCGATGCTGCCCTTTGTAGGAATGGAACAATGGCCTCGAGCCAAACATGGGTTATGATGGAGAACATAAGGCCTGCAATCGTGCAAGAAGAAAGTCAATCCCACATGATTCCATGCGTTACATGCCTAAGGTGCAGGCGTCACACATACATGAGAGAGCCACAAGATGTGAAAAGGGTGAACCCAGCAGCACCATTGCGAAGCACACTAGGAGCGGAATAGTCGTAAGACCTGCCAGGTGCAAGAAGTGTGATTCACAAAAAGCCGAGGAATGGATGACAAGGGAAAAAACAGAAACAGCCGAGAACTCACCAGTAAGCACTACATTGCCCACAGGAATGCGGAACGGCCTGTACGCATCAGGCTCTGTGAACCTCAGGTAGATAAGAGCTGAGAACTTCAATGCTGAAGAGATGCAGTACAACACCATGTCCGCCTGCAAGTTAGGAATACATACATATCAATCAAAGTTATGTCCGCATGTTGCAGCAACATAACCTTGTAGCTTCTCACTGTCCACATCTTGCAACATCATACCCTTGTAGCATCTCACCGTCCACATGTTGAATCACCACACCCTTCTATATTCTCACCTCAGCAAGAAGTGTAAACTCTGATCCAGACAGCAGCAGAGTGCAGAAAGCCGTGATAATTAGTGCTACCCAAGGAGTTCCATGTTTCTCTTCAATAGATTGAAAGAACTGGGGTGCCTGCGGAACAGATAGTGTAAGAAGGCTGCAGACTACCAAAACAGAAGAATCCGCACGTACCTTATGTGCAACGGCTATTCCATAGACAAGCCTTGAGCTCATACATAGACGAGTTAGGAGAAGCCCAAATGCGCTAGTGACTCCTCCAAGTCCCAACCAAATCTGGCACGCATAAAGATAAGTCCTTTGCCCGAGTAGAGAGCAAGGATCTTCCACACATTACCTCCAACGGACGACCTCCAACACTTGCAGCGATGTCTGTAAACGTGCCACCTTTCCACAGCTCAAAGTATGGCGCCACACTCAAGCCAACAAAGGCTGGAACGATGTAGGTAACAAGCATCAGTCCCACAGAGACCAGCAACGCCAGAGGATAGGATTTTGCTGGATCTTTTACCTCCCCCGCGCATGCTCCAACGGAATCAAACCTGAAAGTGAAAGCGCTTAGTCATTCCATTCTTGATAAGGTAGCACAGAGCACAACAAAGTAAGCATACCCTGAAGTGTTCCAAAGCAGGAGGGAGAGTAGTTTTGGCCAATTCATAGGCTTAGGTGCTGGAAAGCTGATCCACTGCAGATTTAGCTGAGGAATGGCGAAGAAGAACATTGCAATGAAGGGGGCGATGACAGATGCTCCAAAAACCATCGTTGCTTTGCCTGCCAAAACCAGTTTGTGAGACCGAGCCGTCGTATGTTCCCTACCATTTTTTATCACTACGGTTACATACCGACTATGTTGACTCCGCTCAAGTTGAGCGCGGTTGTGGCGGCGATCATTGTCGCCTTCAGAAGTAGCGAGTATGGCATGGGAATCGCTCCAAAAGGACCATAGATGACGTGGCTCAAATAGTTGACGAAGAGGGCTGGATACAGTGCGTTGTCAAACACACCGCATCCAAACGTTAGCACACTGTTGAATACGGACCAGAATGGTCCGAATGCATGATACACCCATAAAATGTGTCCACCGCTCTGCGGAATCATGCAAGCCAGCTCCCCAGTCATCAATGCCAGAGGAGCGGACCAAACAAAGGGAATAATGAGTAGCATTCCCAGCCCTAGAAGGCCTCCTGACGCCCCAATAACGTCCTCGAAACCATACGGACCCTGTAAACAAGGAAGTTAAATGAGAGCTAAGCACACCGAAACTCGACGGCGTAGTCAAAGATACCTTACCCCTGTCACCGTGAAGAATAATATGGAAACCAGTTGAATTGTTGAGAGTAAGGACGTGGAGCTGCTTCGCCGAGAGATAGCACCGCCATTACTCCAACGTTCACCTTTTCCAGATTTAACGCCATCGCTTGTACATTCCGGGATTAGCTTTGTCCTATGCTCTTTCTCAGCATCCATTTCCAAGGGAAGCATCTGACCACAGATGTATTGACGGAACTGGTCGCACGCTCAAGCACCACACACCATCAAATAACACGAATTCTACGCTGTAGACAGAAAAACAATGTTTTCGCAGACTGAGACGGAATGTTTCGCTGCAGAGCGGATAACCAGGCCTCCTATTTCCCACTACAATCGAACCGGTACCTCTTTGTCTACGAGCCACATATCCCAAAGGTGACTCTGACACTTGAATGTCTGCCGAAAACAAGCACTCCTCCCCTGCTCCCCCTGCGGCTACCCCCCCGTCAAGCAGGGGTGCTCAGCGCCGAGCGGGCAGACCCGACTGCGTGTCTGAGCGAGGTACGTCCAGCATGCAATTGATGCGGTGGTGTACGGTTCGACATGTTGCGGAATGGATTTGATACAACGGTCTCGAACACCGTAGAACCGAACTGAATGTAAATCTTAGAGGCTCAACTTGTTTCAAGTCTTACAAATGCCGTGAATAGTTGAGCCCAAACTTATGAGTAAAAAAGATTAATTCACAAAAAAATGTATTTATTATCAACAAGGTGCAAGTGAAGCCAAAGGTCCAAGAGGCTCAAGAACATTGTCCTTCGGGCCTTGGGCTTGCATACTGCCACTCCTCCCAAGGTTCAAGGACAATCCCCTTGGAGGCCACGGCTGGCCTCTTGGGCCATTGGCTATAATGGCCACCTAGCTACACCATCAACAGCACAAACACACACTGATCAATCCCCCACTCCAAACATGAGGTGCCCTTCAAGCAACCTGAGTGCATGAGCACTGGCAGTTCATGGGAGAACTCCCACTGGCACACGTGCACTGGCAGTTCATCTTGGTAGTCCCTGGTGGTGGTGGCGGTGATGGGGAGGGGGATGGAGGAGGGGGGGAGGGAGTGGTGGTACTCCCAGGGAGGGAATTCTGCACCACACATTTCTGCAACTGCCTATCCCAGTTCTGCTGCACCAGGAATTTCATCCCATTCAATCCAACCATATTGTAACTGGCTCCGTTTGAGGCACTGCGTGTAGTTCCGTAACTCCATGAGCACAGATCCGCGTTTTCCTCCCCGTTAGAGTCGAACCAGCCCGAATTCACGTCCGGATCGGTAGCAGCTTCGGAGATTTCGTGCGCGAGGGTTGAGATGGTTGCGTCTATAGCGGGGTTGCCATTAGGGGAGACGCTATTTACGCCACAGGAGTTCGGGCACTGGCCGTGGTGTCCCACGAACGCGTAGTAGAAAGGGGAGGATCCGATATAGCCCTGCGTGTGCCAGCCGCAGTACTGGCTGCAGAATCCGGACGACAGCGTAACGTCCTTGCTCGATAGAAGCACGTAGATCCCGTGCGGGTCGAAGGCGAATGCTTTCCCGGACCCGATCTTGCTCTTGATGACTGTCACAGAAACGAAAAGAACAGGGGAGACGAGCAAATGTTTAGCACATGAGAGCCAGAGGCATCACCGTGATGTTACAATGATGACTCAGCCGCAGAGCGAGTCTCAGTCGTTTTGGTCGTGGCTGGCTCCGAGGTTCAGAACGACCAAGGTACTACCGTTCTACTAAAACATCAGAAGTCGCGCGAATCAACGCTACATTATGAGTAATCGCAAATGTTTTACGGAGCACAGAGCGGGACGAATCAAGCACAGAGCGCGGGACTTACTCGAGAGGACGCTGCTGTCGGAGAGCGCCTTGCCGTACGAGTAGCTGTCGTACGTCGTTCCCGCCAACCGCACCTTGGAGCTCACATTCTTCTTGCCCGCGTTGTTCGACTGGTAATAATTACTCGTGATCGCCCACCAACCCTTCACCGTCGGGTCGCTCGCCGCGCCCTGCGCGCCCGAGTCGCTGCTTAGAGACCGGACGAAGTTGTCGATGTAATCCTGGCCCGACCCCGACGGCCAGCTGCCGTAGTAGATGTGGTAGATGTTCACAGTAGGGTTTCCCACCACGACCGGCCCGCCCCAGTACTTAATCGGCCCGCCGGTCGCGTAGGGAGTTGCGGCGCCGGACGAGAAGAGTCCGACGGTGGCTCCGCGGATTTGGCCGAGGAGGCCCTGGGAGTGGGTGGAGGCCGCGGCGGCGGCCCGCGCGCGAAGGCGCTGCGCGTGGGCTTTCACGGTGAGGGAGATTCTCTTAGGGACAGGCGAGGCTGAGGAGAGGAACGCGTGGGAGACGAGGAGGAGGAGGAGGAGGGGGAGCAGGCGAGCGTCGGCCATGGTTTGAGCGGGGAGGCGGCGAGTGGGGAGATGTGTCGGAGAGAGGCGCGATGGGCGCCTGGGTTGAGAGCAGCGTGCAGATTTAGATGGCGACTTGGAAGCGTGGAGGGAGGAGCGAGGAGGGAGGAAGAAATGGATGGAATGGACGGATGAATGCGAGTCGGGCTACGGTGTGGTGAGGAGGTTGGCGAATGTAGCGAGAACAGGCGAGGCGGGTTGTGTGGAGGGGACGGGAGTTGTGGCAGGGATTGGGAATACCGCTCAGAACCCTTTCTAGAAATGAGGCGAGAGGAGGGATTTCTACGGCGAGCTTGCCTAACCCGCCGGGTGGTGACGATGCGCGGTTTAGGTAGGCTCGTTCTTGAAAACTTATCAATGGAATGGAAACGGTATTGGGGTGCTTGTGAGTTATGGAGGGGACTGGCGGCGGCTACTTATGCTGTGTTGTCAAGGCAAGGTCTCATGCATTCCTGCACTACGCTGTTTCCCTTCCTCCATCTGCTCGTGCCGAGTTGAGGGCTGTTTGCTGCTGGTTGGTGTAACTTCGGTTGGTGGCAGTCTGGTTTTCGTGAGCGGCGCTCGGGAGGTTCGGGCAGATGTTCGAGGTGCAGTGCGGTGCGGTGGTGTGTGAGGTGCAACCAACGTGGGCAACAAAACATCGGTGGAGGGTGTTGAAGTTGGCAGAAGAACATTTCCTGCCGGGTACAGTTAGCGAGGCAGGATGCGGAGGGGAGGGGAGGGGAAGGAGGGAGGCAAGGGCAAGGGATGAGGGTGTGTGTGTTGCCAGGGTGGTGTGAACAGTCGGTGGCCGGTTCTGTACAGAGTTGGTGAGGGTCAGGGAGGGTTAGATGCAGGGCTTACGTTAGGGTTTTCGTCCACACGGCAGATCCGGTTATCTCATTCGTGGGATCCAGATTAAACGGGTGTATGTGAAACGCTACCCGTCGAAATCCTGGTCAGAAAGAAATGGCACTTCAGTCCCGGGATTTTTCCGTGAAGACAAAAGCTCTAACGAAAAGTTCCTGGGTTCTACAAAGGGACCCCGTAAAAGTACTCTCCGCTCTTATAATTCTATCTCTGGAACTTATGTTGCTGGGCTGATTTGCCCTGGGGAGAGGGAATGGAGGGGGGATCAGCGGGTAGGGTGGTGTGAGAAGTTCTAGTCATTCATGTTTGCAAAAAAAACTAACACGTCACTTCACGGGTTCTGGTCGAAATATACCCATGAGAATCCGGGCTCATGAAAATCGAACACGTCGCAATCTGCTTCCGGTCGAGAAATCACCCGTTTTCTTGTCAAAATCCGGGTAGTTTCCCGTGAAAAATAAGCCCTGGTTAGATGCTTGCCCTTTCAGGCTCGAGAGAGCTTGAAAGAAATTAAGGCCAGGGATTGTGGGTCGTAGGTTAGGTGAGAGGTTTCACAGCAGGATTTCGCCCTCACGGGGTTAACCCAGGGATAGAACGGAAATTCCTACACAAAATCCGAGAATTAGAATTCTAGGATCCGCGAAAATCATCCCTCGAACTCATCGGGTACCCTAAGAGCGTGTCCAGAGTGCTATTTGTCATCCGTTCTGTCATCCAACGGATGACAGCGGATTAATTGCACTTTGGTTTCCTCCTGGGATCTGCTTAAAGCCCAAACAAAAGTCGAAACACCCACCGTAACAGTGTCACACTTGCCGTTTGAGGGCGGCTTTGGGCAGACAATTCGAAATTCAATTTTGACTCAACATGTTACGCTGTCGCGGGGTCTACCTCGTCATGTTCGTCAACCTCGAAACAGGCACGTCAATGTGGCACTGGCGAAATCTATTTGTAACATAGTTGGCGATTCGTCCGCACTGCATTGTTTCGTATGCATGTGCGAGTTCCATGCCTTTCTCCAAGCTGTATTTCGTAACGCGTGTTTCGTGCGTGTGGCTCCAAATTGACTGTAGATTTTGGCATGCACTGTCCCGTTATCCTGCCCGACCTAGCTGTCCCGGCTTTTTGGACTGTAGCATGTCATCCGTTCAGCCAGGGTCCCTGCAAAGTCCCAAGCAAGCTTGGGACGCGCCAATACGGCTTGGCACCCTCTGTCATCCGTTCTGTCATCCGCTGTCATCCGCAAAAATAGCACTTTGGACACGCTCTAACAAAAGCGAGAATTTTCAGGGATGTGCAGTTCGGGATGTACATCTATCGTCTGATAAGCGACGAGTGATGGAAACCCTATCTGTGGTTTGCACTGCGGCTGATCACAAAAGAATTCAACGATTTTCCACGCCGGGTGGTGCGTGTCGCCACCACACGTTACAACTGGGAATGGCGTGGGTTGTCGCTACTGCATCCACCCATGTCACGTTTCGCTGGCACCGCGAATTTGCTATGGGATGTGATGCGACGGTGTTACGGTGGCTGCCGAGAAACGTAAGGAGCGAAGCTGTTGGTGAGGTGAGGGAGAACGTGTTTGCTGGTTGGGCCTGTCAGCAAAGCTGACAAATTGATTCTGCGGAGGAAAAACGAAGAAAATAATCTTACCGCCTATTAGAAGGATCGTTATTCGTTATCCTCGTACTTGATCAATGTTTGTGTTGTAGTCGTTGCTCTATAACAAAACATGCAAAATTGCTGAAGCTCTTTGAAATCGCCAAGTGGACGTGCCTGAACAGGTGTGTGCCTGCCAAACCCCCACAGGCTAGGTACGAACCAGGCTCGCCTCGCTATACAGGAACCCCAACCGACATGTCAGCAAACAGAAATAATCAATACTGTGAAGTGCATTGCCAGGAGCCGCCATTTTTGGGTTGCGTAGCAACCCTATACGATCGTTTTCACTTTTGCTGCACCAGAATGTGTACCCTTTAGAATCTACATTTGGTTGCCATATTGTAAGGTTCCATTGTCAACTTATACATACATTTCCATGTAGAAGTTATAGACTGGAATAGGTGTGTGTTCCTAGCGAGTACAGCTCAAACCCTATATCTCCCTTGTTCTCTCATGTTTTAAAATCATTCTAGTATTCTAAAGTGGTATCATGAGTAGGTTACGTCCGCCCACCCGCTTCCGCCCCTCTCCCTAGCCTACCACGCCCCGCCGGCCCCTAGCGCGTCCGCCGGCCCCTTGCGCGTCCGCCAGCCCCTAGCGTGCCCGCCGTCCCTTACGCGCCCAGCCAGCCCCTCGCACCCAGCAGGCCCCTCGCACCCAGCAGGCCCCTCGCACCCAGCAGGCCCCTCGCGCCCAGCCGCTCCCTTTCGCGCCGTAACGACCCCTCGCGCCGAGCCGGCTTCCCACGCCTAGCCAACCCCTCGCGCCAAGCCGGCCCCTCGCGCCTAGCCGGCCCCTCGAGCCTAGCCGGCCCCTTGCGCCTAGCCGGCCCCTCTCGACTAGCCGGCCCCTCGAGCCTAACCAGCCCCTCAAGCCTAACCGGCCCCTCTCGCCTAGCCAGCCCCTCGCGCCTAGCCGGCCCCTCGCGCCTAACCGGCCCCTCCCGCCTAGCCGGCACCTCGCGCCTAGCCGACCCCCCTAGCCTAGCCGGCCCCTCGCGCTAGCAGGCCCCTCCCGAGCACCGCCGGCCCCTCGCGCCTTACCGGCACCTCTATAAGCGCCGGCCCCTCCCGCACCTGCCCGGCCTCTCGCGAGCCTCGACGACCCCTCGTGCGCATTGGCCCCTTGCACGTCCGCTGGCTCCTCACGCGCCCACCGGCCCTCCCGTGCCCCTCGGCCCCCCAGCACTCCGCCGGCCCTTTGCGCCCTGCCGGTTCTGCGCGCCTCGGGCCCTGCGAGCCTCAGGTCCTCATCGACCTTCCGCCCTGTCTCCTCGCCGGAGAGTCCTGCAGACACGCCGCTGTACCATCGTGCAGTTGATTACCTGTGTCCCTGTGCCGCTGTACCGCCGTGTCCCGGTGCAGCTGTGGTTGCACGATGACGGACGCGATGCTACGTCTGGACGCGGAGGGACACGCAATCGACTTCGCGGCCTGGCTTGTCGATCTTCACCGGCACCTGACAAGTCAGCGCCAGGTTGGGCACTCGCTGGCTATGCATCTTGATGGCTTGCTTTCCCGCCCCCCTGCGCCTGATCCCCTCCCTGCTGACCCCACCACTGCTGAGAGTGAGGCCTTTGCTACTGCCGCGCTCGCTCGCGCTGTCTGGGATTCTCGCGATGCTGTAGCGCAGCTTGTCATTAGTCATGCACTTCCCCTATCTGAGCGTCCCCGCTTCACTGCTGTAGCAAACGCCAAAGACGTACTAGATGCAGTAGTTGCGCGCTAATCCACGCCTGCCTCCGCCTCCACTGAACGCTTGATCCTCCCCATGCTATTCCCCGATCTCTCTGCTTTCCCCACTATCGCTGATCTCGCCACTCACCTCCGTGCACTAGAGACTAGCTACCGCACTGCTAGCACTGCCGCCCAACTCACTGCTTTCCCCCCATCGTTTTGTGCTACCATGTACCTTATTCCCATGCGCTTGCTTGACCACTTAGCCACTGCCCAAGACCACTTCCTTAGCCAGCACCCAGTCGACCTCACCCTGACTGCCTTTGTTACTGCCCTGTCTGAGATAGAGACTCGTCAGCGCACTATCGCTCAGTCGAGTGGAGTTGCGGTAGTCCCTATCTTTCAGGGCTGTGCTCCCTCCCAGTGCACGTACGCTGACGTTTCCGCCGCAGTCGCTATGGCTGCCCCGGCCACTGAGACTGCAGCTGTGGCCTTCCCGAAGTAGCGACAGCGTAGGGGCCACTGCGGCCCCAAGCGAGGGCATGGTGGTGGCGCTGGTGGTGGTAGTGGTGCAGGCGGGGACAGTGGTTAGGAAGAGGGGGTTGGGGCTGGTGTCCAGGGGCAGCAGCAGCCGCAGCAGACGCAGCAGCAGCAGTCGCCACAGCAGCAGCAGTAGCAGCCGCATCAGCAGTCATGGGCCCGCCTCCCGCCGGGGTGGCTAGGAGCCCTAGGAGGTGGTGATCGCGGTGGTGGCCCCCGCAGCTCGGTGTCTACCGGCGGTTTCGGTGCTATGGGCTGCCAGTACCAGCTCCAGACCAGGCCCCTTCGTGGCAATGTGTGCCGGCGCCCGCACCCGACTGCCTGTTGCTTCCGCCGCCTCGACGACCTCTTGTGTCGCCGCTTCGGCCCGGCCCCGGACCTCCCCGACAGGCCCAGTCTGCTCCGTCACGGTGTGCCTGTATATGACTTAAACATGGATCAGATTAGTTCTGCCCTGCATTCTTTGTATGCTGACGCTTCTAGTGTTCTCTAGCTTAGGCGTAGCACCTGTGTGTAGTACAGCCTACCCTGCTACATCGGCATAGGACCGTTTGCTTTGTCTCGCCTAGGCTCTACCCTTGCTCCTCCTTTGTCTGCCGCTACTGCTTCTCTGTAATTTACACTCGACACCGATGCGTCAGCCTGCTACTTCCACAACCACGCCACCCTTACGCCGCTCACTGCGCCTG